AAACTCTACTCTACTCTACTCTACTCAGGCAAAATGCAACAAAGAAATGAAGTTTTGCCGTAACCATTCTGCAACAGAAGTCAAACATTCTTATCAAGTATTCTGAATAGTAACGAAACGCAAATGGATTTGTATGACATATTGAAAATAAAAAAATGTCCGTGCATATACACAGTGAGTCAGAAGTATGTTTACAAACTTCGTGTTCCAGGATCAAAAATAACGGAAAATGTTCCTATGAACATGGGGTCGCAAATGTTTCATTTTCGAAATAATAGCCAAAAATAATTTTCAACAGATGCTCAAAAGTTTTCCCTCCATTTTCCACACATACACGAGCACGACGTACACAAGATTGACGGATTCGTTCGTACACGCCAGGGTTTCCTCGAATCATCTGGCACGCATTCTACACACATTCCCATAGGTCGTCATCATTGTTTATGGGTGTTGCACAAACGACGGACTTCAAGTGACCCAATCCATCGCTGGGGGTACTGTTCATTGAGATGATATCTGACGTGATGGGAGAAGTGTGCTGGGGCTCTGTCGTGCATAAACCACATTTGTCTTCTTGTATTCAGTGGCACATCTTCAAAGAGACGTGGCAAGTGTCCTCTTAGACGCGATGGAAGCAAGTGTGGACCAATAAGCATGTCGCCAACAATTCCTGCCCTAACGTTAATTGAAGATCTTTCCCGGTAGCTGGATTCGCTTTGATATAAAGCCAGTTCATTGAAACTTATTTTTGGCTATTATTTCTAAATTTAAACATTTTCGACCCATGTTCATAGGAACATTTTTTTCTTATTTTTGATCCTGGAACACGCACACAAAGTTTGTAAACATACTTCTGACTCAACCTGTATAGACATGTATTCGACAGCTTTGACACACAAATGGCGGCCGTACAAACGACTTAATTTACCGAGTTTTATGGGATGCATTCTGTTGTGTGTTGAGTGTCATGTTGACAGTCCATCTACCACACAAGAAACCAGTCCTATGACAACCCATAAGCTAAATAGCATTTTACTGTTTAATTACATAGGTGAATCTCCAACATATTCTTAGTAATATTTCCATCTTTCAATAAATGCCCCTCCCAGTAACATGTTCATTTATTGTTAACTGCCTGGATTTGAAATGTGACTTTACACCATTGATTGTGAGTAACAATGTAACTCCCTCACCATGTCGCTACAGGTGGATTCTCAACTAAATAGGTTTGACTTGTTAAAGTAGAAGTTAGTTGTGTACAGTATTGTAGTATTGTTTACAACTAAACTTCTACATACCTGGTAGAAGCAAAATGGTATAGTGCTGCATGCATCCCGACTATAACACTAATGGCACTGGTACATGGCAGCTAGCAGGGATGCAATTTCAACAGGTAATTTCCTTTGAAATTGCACATGAAATTTATTTTCCTAGGCTTTCAATAGGCGCAATGTAATGCAAGGGTGGCGATACACCGAGGCATGCTAATTACCTTCAATGCTCCTCATGCCTTAATCTTAATGTATGAGGAGACAGATTGTTTTTCTCGGACAACAAAACGCCAAGGGTGAATTGCGGGACAGTATTGCCTAATATCCTTTAGGTATTATCACATTTGTCTGGGTGGGAAGGGTGAAACTTGGATTCGAATATGAACCACAAAAGGCAAGGTAAGGGCTCTGCTACCAACTCATCCTGCTTTGCAACAGTTTAAAATCGTACATAGGAGAATTGGTGTACATATCTCACTGTGAAATCAAGATGAATTTAAATTTAACAATTTATGAAATGCACACATGGCATAGCAATTCTGTAACGTCTACCAGAGTTTTACCATTGACACTTGAGAAAGGCACAAGTAACACCAGAGCTGTCTGAGGTCAATGATCTTAGCATGAGTAAGATGTCTGACACCGGTGATGAATTCACTACAGAGGAATCCAAGCTGCTGTTGCGTGTTCCTTTGAGATCACTTGGTGACAAAACACTTACCATGTTTACTCAGAATTTGTGAACAACAAGTGATATCACACACATTTTACAGAATGCAGGTATCAGCACATCAAGAGCCTCCCTTGTTTCATGATGTTTCTCATGACAGAGTGACATGATTTATTAAACTTTTGTTCAACACATAACAGGTATTGGTAAACAACTGGGAGTGTGGGCAGTTCTACTAGTCATTAAAAACACATATGAGTCATGTCCTTGAATGCACAAAAGTTCGTGCCATTCCGAAATGAAACCCAAGGTGCGACCAAGACTTCTACTGTAATTATTATGAACTGCTCGTAACAGTAGCTCACACACCAAGTAGTGTGCTGATGAATATACAATTACTGTAATCACTTAGGAAGGTACTGTTAAAACAACATAAAATGTTGAACAAGAGCACTAATGTAAGATTTAAGGTTTTCAAGTTGGTGAGGCTGTTTTCTGGGTTTTTGCACCGTGTAGTCAGTCCGGTACCGATGTTGTAGAGGTCCTTGCTGCAGCGCAACAACCAGAAGACAGCCAACTTCAATAGCATTAATACCAAGCTCCTCTTACCAGTTCACCATAAACTGTAACTAAGCATCCACAAACTAAATGACCTCTGGCAAATACTTTTTACCTTGAATCTTGTTTATCTCTAAAGTATTGACATAATTCTTAACAACACCCTTCTGCTCTTCATTACTTGCACTGCTTACATTTTCTGTATGATTAGTTTTATTTTCTCCAGCTGCAACTTCTCCTGATACCAAAAATTTATCCCACTTCTGTAACCGCTGCTGGACTTCAACATCTGTTTCAGCAATCCTAAAATAAACAATAAGTGGACAATGACGCAGATACTGAAATAATTGAGACATATTATTTCAATGGTCCAACAGGCATCTGAATACTGCCCATAATAAATATTTTGGCTCATATGTATTACTAGAGTGAAGTTCTGTTATATCACTGCTGAATGTGTTAACTTTTAACTCCACATTCTTGGAACTACACACATTTAAATGTAATCCAAGTCTCATTTAGACTCATTTTATTTATTTCTGTCAAGATCTCCCTATTACAATTTTCACAACTGCTGTGTAATTTTATTTTACTGTTCATGTTTTGTAATGGATCATACTTTCTCTTTAATTCCATCTCTACAACTTTCTGAATTTGTGGTTCATGTACTCATATTATCCTATTCTTTATTACATGCCAGTAACCATATTCTATTTCCACGCTCAATTTCTCCTTCCTACAGTCAAGAATGCTGAAGAACCATGTGTCGCCTCTTCAGTCAATTGCCTCTATGTAATATCACACAGTCAAAACCCAATGTTCACTTCACGCTCCTTCTGGCCTTAAAATGTTACTTTAGTATTCACTTGTTACTGTCCACTTGAGGATGCAATTTAGCATACTTGTGTGGATAGCAGTATAGCTCCTACTCATTACTGACCTCAGCACTGACCTGGTCACCATCACCCCCTGGCTGCACTTTATGTCCCCCTTTTCAGAGAAAGAAATACCAGTACCCACTGGATATGAGACTGGGTGAATACAAGAGCTGAACTGAAAACATATGCTAAATGGACCCTGCTGAGGATCGAACCCATTATTCAGTCGATAGTCAGACAGTACTTTCAATAGGCTACCCCAGCTCACTAATTCAGCATGTTCTCAGAATCCTATTATAAAGCAAAATAGAAAATACTAAAAATGCTTGTGTACTGTTACTAGTCTATAAAATTAAATGCAAATGTTGACAAATCCTCTTTAAAGGAGGTTCAAAATCACCATAAATCAGACATAATTAAACAAAAAATTAACTTAATTAACTAAATTAAATTCTGCAATGCAGAAAAAATGTACCCACACATCATGTAAATGTCAGACTGTAGAGCTAGGGAAGAAGAAGAAGTCAGACATTAAAAGGAAAACAAAACTAATGTAAATAATACACATATTACATTCATCTTTGTTCCAAACTGTTGGCAAGCTTCTCTGCAAAATCCACTGCAGTTTTTATATTCTGTGAACCAAGCTTGTTATTCAAATCGTCCTTTTCCTTCTGATATTCATATGATTTCTGAATCACGGTCACCACAATGAGATATAACACGTAATGAATGTAACTCAATTCCTGATCACCAGAACGCCTACATTATTTTTCTGTGTCAAGCAACTTTTTGGCTGAATTACAAAGCCTACAAAATGAAGAGTTAAAATCATTTCACATACTAATCCTTCTATTTCTAACGTTAAAACCCATAATGTATATAACATCAAATTACTTACATCATTGCTTTATTTCCTTTAATAAATTCATCAAAGTTGTACAAAACTTCCAAATCTGAAATTGATTTGCCAGTGTATAAAGGTTTCAGTTTTGTTTTTGGCATGTTGAATATGAGTTCAATCTTTTATAATTCACGAACTATTTATTCTCTTGAGTTTCTCTTTTGTCAGTTTGTCAACACAATTGGCGCCAAACTTGTTACGGTAACATGTATGAGAATTGTCTCTAATGACAAGCAACAAAGCGCCTATAAAAACATTAAATTTCTAGTATTATATAACGAAGTCACTCGTACACACCACTTAATTGTCCATTTAACACGGAACTAGCCTTTCTTCCTTGACAGCTCACATCCGACATCTTGAATAACTCTCTCTTCCACTTAGTTACCAACATCCTTACACGATATATTACTATCTGCAATTCCATGTCTGCCAACTATCAGTTATTAGTGTCACGGTTGGTGGCTACATTAGCTCAGTTGATTAAAATACCAGCTATTTCTTAAATATCCACAATAGAAACTGAAATTCATGAGAACTGCAGTTTGTATACTACTTAGGCCACAAACGAAATTACATCTTAATTTCTAATGCACTTATCAAATTTAAACAGAATCAACGAACTATGGAAACCACATGCAAAAAGAAAGGACGAAATGGAAAATAATTGGAGATGGTTATTATTATTATTAAGTGTTCTGTCTTACGACAGGTCCATTGCTCTGCCCAAAAAGAGCTCTCCAGTTGTCCCTATTCTCGGCTTCTCGCTTTAATTCCTGGAACGTCATCTTCTTTCCTTGTTTAAGATCGTCGGTTAGCTGTATCA